TGGTGATTATTTCTCCCAAAATTAAGAAGGGCCCAGGCATTAGGCATTTGGCTGGGATCTTCCCCAGGCTGTAGCACAAAGCTCAGGGCTGGCCAGCCTTGCCCTCCCTCCCTCCCAGCAGAGCTTGGTGACCTGCCAGGTCTTTGTTTTAGGTATCTTCACCATGCTGAGCCCCCTGGGCTGGGTTTCTGCCTCCAGCAGTGAAAAACAAGCACCCAGTGTTCTCTCAAGGGGCACCTGTTGCACTTTCCTGTGGCAGACACACAAACCCTGTCATGGCACAGGCGTTCCTGGGTGTGTGTCAGTGGAAAAAAAGGGATGGGGGGGATTGCACAGGGACAGCTTGAAGGGGCTCTCACCTCCCTGCCACCCCTCATTTCTCCCTGAAGCAAGAGAAGTCATCCTGCAGCTCCTCCTGCACAGGCAGCAGCTGCTGCTGCAACTCCAGAACAACTCCTGCAGGAATTAGCCTGGAGGAGCTGGTGGGACTCCAGAAGTGTCTGATCTCCCAAAGGAGAAGGTGATTCTCCAGGGGATGCACTTCCTCTCGGCTTCTCACACCCTCTCCTTGCCCGGGGGTGCCCGGGGTGCCCGGGTGTGTGGGGTGCCCACAGGGAGGAGGAGGAGGAGGAAGAGGAGCTCACATGGAGTTCCAGCTCCATGGGTGGGTGGTTGTGATGATGCAGCAGGAGCAAAAAATCCTCCAAAATCAAACAGTATTGGATCAGTGGAAAATGAGTAATCAGCAGAAACCACCAGAATTTTCAGAACTTTTCTTGCTTTTCTCGTGTCTTGTTGCCTCCTTGCTGCAGGCAGAAGGTGCTCAGTGGGGTGTGGGATCCAACAGGGTGTCCTGTGGGATGCTTTGGGCAAGGAGAGTTGTCACTGGCACTGCCTCGTGGCAGGGTGTGGGTGGCCCTGTTGGGGCTGGACTGGCCTGGAGATTTCTGTCCTTCCTCCCAGAGCTGCAGGATGCTGCAGACACCTCTATGTCTCCCTGAATTCCAGCTCAGGTGCCCACGGCTTGTTCTCACCTCTGCATTCTCCATGCTGGTCCTGAGAGAGCAAGGATACTCTGTCAGGGCAGAAATATGAATATCTCAGAATTCAGTGCCCTCACACCAGCCTCTGGTGTTCTCCTTGAGCTGTTGTCACCACCAGCTGGCTCAGCTGGATTTGTGACAAATGGGTGAAAGGCCTGGAGTCACCAGCCCTGGGAGAGGAATGGAGATCTTGGGGTGGAAAAATCAAGGCAGGGAAGCAGAGGGCACAAGGAAGGACCACAGAGGCTGGTGGATGTGAAGCTTCAACACAAAATCATGGATCCAGGAGGCTCAGAGAGGCCAAGAGGGGCTGAAGCCTCCTCCATGAAGGAGGCCCATAAATAACCCTCTTGGAAACAAAGAGCTGACTCTTCATTTATTCTGCCTAGATCAAATCCTAGCTGCTTATTTTTAGGCTGTGCTCTTCCTCGTGGTGCAGGCGTGTGGCTGGAGCCTGCAGCTCCATCCAGACCCCCGGAGCTGACAGCATTTCCACCTGCCTGGGAGCCCTGGCTGAATACCTGGATGGAATTATCCTGAGCAGACAGGCACAGCCCTCCTTCCCTCTTAAGCACATTAGCTGAGAAGGGAAGGAGGAAGAGGAAGGAACGACATCCCTGTGGTTTTTCAGGAGCTGCTCATGCTGGTGGCAATCTCAGCAGAATGAAAACCTTTAATTTCACAGGTTTTTTTTCCTCCTTGCCAGTGGCTGGAGCTGCACAGCACACACAGACTGTGGGGCTGCAGGCAAAGTCCACTTCCGAGCTCTGCCGTGTGGGAGGAAGTTTTGTGATTAGGACGCACCTGGGAGCACATTCTTGAGCTGCTGTTTTTCTCCCTGTGTTTTCCTTTCCATCCTGAACGGCTGATAACAGCCTGTGGTCACCAGGTCCTTTCTAGACGGGAAAGAAATCCAAAGAACAGTAAGAATGGAAGAGATTAAACAGAGGAAATGGAACTTTCCTGTACAAACCTGCTGCTCAGAGAGGAACCCCTCGCCTGCTGTTATTAGGCAGAACCTGAACTGTGGTGCTTTGCATGGCTGGAAGCCGTGTTTATTTTCTGAGCAAGCCCTGTTTAACTCAAAGCTTGTCTGGAGCGTTCCCAGAGAGCCCCCTGATGGCTTCAGCTTTCATCCCAATATCCTCAGCGTTAATGTTTGGAGTAGCTGGGAAAAGGCAAAACAGCAAAAGGAGCCAGCAAGTTCAGGGTGAGATGAAGGGTGGAAATAATCTCTTCCAGGGTGAGGTGATGCCTGGGCAGCCAAATATTCCTGCCTCCCATCCACCTCCCTCTTCCTGAGGCTTTCACCACGTCCTGTTTTGAGCCAGAACACAGAACCATCACCAGGAGCTTCTCCATCCCCTGCGCTGAGGCTGTGCTCAGCACTCAAGGAGTGTCACAGGGGACAAATCGAGTCCCACCAGCCTCGTGGGGTTGGGTTTTTTCTTCAATACTGCCAGAGAAAGGCTGGCAGAGCACTCCTGCCGTGGCAGTGGGTATGGAGAGGGCTGGGCAGTGCCGTGGAGGTGGCTCACCTTTGCTCTGCGAGAAGCAGTTGTGCAATGGGGTTGCACCAAGCTGGCTCTGCTGCAGGAGCAGCCGGTCCTGCCTCCCCCCACAGTCCCACACTCGGTCCCACGGGTGATGCCACTCCCTGCCACAGCTTTGCCACGTTTGTGTTGGCAGGGTAGGAGCACACCCAGCTGGGTGCCAGGGGACCCTGCTGGGAACACCTCAGCTTGGCTTCACCTGAGCACAGCCCTGGCACACAAACACTTGTGCTGGACCAGCCGGCGCCTGTTTGTTTTCCTGGTGTAAGGAGAGCCGGGCCAGGGCAGCCAGCCTGCTCTCACACCTCCCGGGGAGCCCTGGAGCAGTGACAGCCCTGTCACACTGCTCCCAGAGCTGCCTGAGACACCCGGGGAGACAAACGGAGCCCCAGCCCCAGCCCAGGGCTGGATGGGAGGTGTGTGGTGCCAGCAGCAGAGCAGGAAGGAAACAGCTTGTGCTGAGGGAAGGAGCTGTCAGGAAGGAGGACAAGCCCATCCTGCAAGGAACTCGCCGGAGCCAATCTATCCAGCCTGTGAAAAAACAGACTGGAATGCGAAATAAGCATGAGGGAACACCCCTGCTATGAGCTGGCCTGGGTGGAGCTGGGGCTGAAGATGTTGGTCCTGCTCAGTGGGATGAAGATGCTGGGGGAGGAGGGAGCTCTGCCCTGCTGGGATTCCCTCATGGTTCCTGTCCTGGATCATCCACGATGTGCTGATGGCAGCAGAGCAGCTCAGATGTGTCTCGGTGGCTTTGTTGGACACGGCAGGAAGAGCTCCTGCCCAAGGATGGGGCTGAGAACTGCTGGCATCAGAGCAATGCCAGCCCAAACCTGGGCAAGGACTGCACCCCTGCTGCCACCTGCAAGGGGGGAAGGACATCTGTGTGCCCAAGGCCACAGCCCTGTGTGTGTCCCTCCTGTGCCCATGTCACTGCTGAAGCCCGCATGGCACAGACCAGCCTGGCAATGGCTTTACCCCAGCCCCACACCCAGTCAGTGTCATGGGCTTTGCTTGGGTCCCCAAAATCAACACCCAGCCTCTCCGTGGGCAGGATGGGATGCAGGCAGGGGGGCGGGATGGCGTTTGTGGCACCAGCAGTGGCTGGCAGCCAATGGAGCAGGTGCCTGTGGGTCCCTGTTTCAAAAAGGAACCCAGAGGGAAGGGCTGGAAGTGGCAGAGAGCTTGTCCTGGCCCATGGGGAGTTTTGGATCCAGTCACAGACACTGTCTTGTCCTGCATGAGTCACTGAAAAACTCAGAGTCCTTTTCACAGTGACACTTTCTGCACACTGTGGGCCAGCCTGGAAAAACCCCGGTGCTGCCATCCCCTCCCTGTGGTCAGGACGAGGGATCAGCCTCTCTCTCTTCAATAGCTTGTTTATAAGGATTGAAACACCTCACCAAGCAAAAGAGAAAACCCAACTTCATGCCCAGCAGCTGCTAGTTCCCCATGCCCTAATCTTGGCAACCACTTTCCCGGTTATATTTTCATTTCTGTTTTCTCTGCAGCTGGTGAGGGACGGCAGAGCAAGGGGGCAGTGCCGGGGACACGCCTGACCTTGGGATAACACGGCGGGAACGCCGCGCGTTTGGGGATGGGCTGTGCGAGCATCGCTGGGGCAACAATGCCAGGGACACACGGGGCACCTGTCCCTGCCGGTGGGGCAGGGGCGAGGCGGAGTGTCCCTTGCTGTCCCGGTGTGTCCCTTGCTGTCCCGGTGTGTCCCTTGCCCTCCCGGTGTGTCCCTTGCCCTCTCGGTGTGTCCCTTGCTCTCCCGGTGTGTTCTCTGCCCTCCCGGTGTGTCCCCTGTCCTCTCGGTGTTTCCCCTGCCCTCCATCCTCAGCCGCTGCCGGCACACTGCACCGGAGGATGGATGGACGGGGAGAGCGGCCCCGGGACAGGGG